GCTGTGAATGTGAACATTGCCTATGGCAGCTGAAGATTGCTTACTTGTTGTTATAGGAACATGGCCAAGCCTGCTGGGGTGTGATTGGCTCAGTAAAATTAAGCTAAACTAGGGCAAGATTAGGCTAATAAAAGGCCTTTGTGCAGAGGATGTGGTTGCAAGGTATCCAGATGTGTTTAAGGATAATTGCATTATAGTCCTCCACGTCCGCTGCATTCTCAAAACTGACCATTTGATAATAGCTAGAATATCAAAATCAACTGCGGGCGGCAGATCCTTTTCCTATTTTGTGCCCAAACTCTGGAATAATATACCTAGCATTGTTCGGGAGGCAGACACAATCTGTGTCAGTTTAAATCGAGATAAAAGACCCATCTCTTTAACCTGGCATGCCCGTAACACACTAACAAATTTCTATTATTCAAATCTGTTCAAGGATTGTAAGGCTGTATTAATTATGTCCACCGGAACTGGCAACACTTCCCAAAACACCCAATGTACTTGTTACATCGTAAGATGAATGGCATCTGTGCTAATATTAGTCTGTTTTGTTCTTATTCCAAGGTCACCATAGCCACCTAGATCTAGTCTGTATCCAGATCAGATGGTCAATGCAGTCATCCAGATCCAGTCCAGATAGTGGATCAGCACCTAGAGGCGACAGCTCTGAATGTCATTGAAGACCATGACAACTAGGTGAGCCCCAGAGACAGATCTCCTGCGAAGACCTCGTCTCTTAGACATCCATAGATGAGTCCTCTGCACAATCTGTTGCAGCCTGGAATTAAACTGCTGGTTTGGTCGGTCTATGGGAGAACGATGGAGTTTAGGTTCCTTTGACACACTATTTTTCTGTGTAATACTGTAAAGCTGCTTTGACACAATCTGTATTGTAAAAAGTACTATATAAATAATCAGAGAGAGAGAGAGAGACATAATCAGGCCTAGGTTGCAGAAACACCTTCAAAAGACCAGGGGAAAACTCCATGCACAGCTCACTCACAGAGAGAGAGACTGCAGATCCCCTGCACACTTGGGAATAGGTTAAAGCTAACGAAAGCGCCAAAAGGGTTAGAATCCAGTCAGACGTGGACTCTAAATGTTAAAAAGGCAGTCCCGATAATTCCTCTGGGATGACTGACAAGTAAACAGGAAGGGACAGTAACAGGACACACAGATCTCAAGTGCCTAACACCATGCATAAATGAAGAAACCAGACAAAGCCTACCCAAGGGAACTTCGTCCAACTCCTGACAGGCAGCAATAGCTGCAATGTAAACCCTCAAAGTAGTCACGGCTGCTCCGGCAGCACACTTCTCTTGCAGGAATTTCAGCACTGAGCCAACTGGGCACCTTACTGGATTCACTGAATGTACACCAAGACTTGAAACCTTCCACTTGAAAAAAATAAAGCCTCCTAGAAGGAGTCTGAACATTATCCATGCTCTCCTGAACATCAACAGGAAGATCAGAAGATGGTAACACTTTATTTTGATAGTCCACTTTAGACATTCTACTACCTATAAACAACTTTGTAACTACATGTCATCTAGCAGTCATTATAGTATTAGTAGACTGTCTGCTTAATATCTATTAACACTTTATGTTGATGGTCGTTCAACAGACGTTCTACTGACTAAGTAACTTTTCATGTACGGCAACTTATTCTACTAACCCTTACCTAACAGTCTACAAATGCTGTAATGAGAGTTAGTTGGCATGTAATTGCAAAGTTACTTATGGCGCTTTTCCACTGCATGGTACGCACAGTACGGCTCGGTACGGTTCACTTTTTGGGGGTTTTCCACTGGGTACAGTACCTGGTACCTGGTACTTTTTTTAGTACCACCTCGGTTGGGGTTCCAAGCGTACCGTACCGTTACCAAAACGTGATGTGTAAACTCTGCTGATCACGGATTGGCCGGAGAAAATCGTCACTACCTGCGTCACTGAACTTGCGACATGAGACACAAACAGACCCGCTAGATTTAAATCAGCACAGCCAGCGAAGGATCGAACGCAACTGTTTTGAACGAGCGCACCTTTTTTTAACAACCAAAAAGTGGCTGTTCCCCCTGTTGCGGAAGAACAGACATTCCTCTCGTTGATAGCAGAGGAGCGGATCCAGCGAGAGTTTGGTGGGCCGGAATGAAAACGTTTTTTTAGGAGTCGCGGCAATAGACGCGGCACAACTATAATGACATGTGAATAATCCCGCCCATTCTAAAGCGATACTAAACTGCAGTGGAAACGCAAACCGAGCCGAACCAAGCCATGCCGTACCGTACTGAGCCGTACCGAGCCGAGTCGTACCACGCAGTGGAAAAGCGCCATTACAGTTAGTAGAATGTCTAAAGTGGACTATCAAAATAAAGTGTAACCCAGAAGATATTACTGCTTGCCACTGATCGGCCACACCTACAGCCTCCAAATCTTGGGATGAGGGTGCCAAAACCTGCCCTGGAGTTGAGACAATAAGTCTTTCCTGCTTCGAATCTTATACAGGGTTTGCTCCACCAGAGAAGTGAGAAAGAGGAGAACCAAGTCTGTGATGGCCAGAACGGGGTCACCAACAGGAGTCTAATCCTGCATTCCTTTACTCTGCAAAGAACTGCATGGATCAGTTTGACCACAGGAAAATCATACAGTCTCAGCTTCGGCCAAGAGTGAGTAATAGAGTCTATCCCCAGGAGCACCAGGTGAAACAGAGAGAACCAAAGGGGACATTAATTCAAGTCCTGCGATGTAAAGAAATCCACCTCTGCCTCCCCAAAGAGACTCCAAATCTGAGCCACTGTCTGGTGGTTCACCATCCAGTCCCCTGACATGAGTTGCTGTCTCAAAAGGAAGTCCGCTGCGAGGTTCAAAGCACTCTGTATGTGAACCGCTCTCAGTGAAAAGTATTGGCCCTGAGCGAAAAGAGGGGACAATGCACATGCCTGTTCAGGGTGCATGACCTCAAACCTCCCTGGCAGTTCATGGGAGACATCACTGTCATGTTGTCCATCCTAAATATAACATGACAGCCCGTCAGGAGCAGAAGGAAATTATCCAGGGTGAGAAAGATGGCACGTCTACAAGCTCAGTGTAGGCCGCAGAAGGCCGTGAAGGAAACGGCCTCATGTGCCTCCGGGCTGGGAAATAAATAATCATGAACAAATTCCACAGGTGAATTCACACAGCGAGAGTGCTTGGGCAAGAGAAAGAGAGAAAGCCTCCATAGCCATAAGCTCCACATTCGATCCCCAAGACGTGGATTATTGAGGAGCCTTGACAGCTTCAGAAAAGGACCAGCGGGAGAAAGCACAGGAATTATTTTCAAAGAAAGCAAGCCTTGCATGGAGAGTTTTAAGCTTAAAATTCTTGCAAATTTGCAGCAAGAAGCACCATAAATAGCCTCACATGCATAAGAAAGAACTGAGGCATTTCATACACTTGCTGTGAGGGTCAGTGCTTGCGATGAAACGAGAGCACAGCAGTTGACAATGATGAAGTTGTACTTCACCATGAGGAGAATGAAAGCAAGTTCCATAGAAGCCTAACTAGCATAACTAGCACAGGCCAGATAAACCACTTCTGAAGTAAGATAATCTGTTAAAGGGGTCATATGACGTTGCTGAAAAGAACATTATGTTGTGTATTTGGTGTAATGCAATGTGTTTATGCGGTTTAAGGTTTAAAAAAATAAAAAACATTATTTTCCACATAATGTACATTATTGTTGCTCCTGTATGCACCGCCTTTCTGAAACGCATCGATTTTTACAAAGCTCATCGTTCTGAAAAGCGAGGTGTACACTGATTGGCCAGCTATCCAGTGCGTTGTGATTGGCTGAATACCTCAAGCGTGTGACGGGAATGTTACACCCCTGTGACGAGTGGGGGCGGGGCCGAGAGCCGTGGGAACGCTCATAATGTCGCTCATTATCAATTATAATTGATAATGAGCGACACCTGCACCACTCACCGGTCTCGAGTCCCACGGAGGAGCTCCGGAAGGATAAAAGGAGGAGTTACGACAGTGAAAGACGAGAGAGGACCAGGACTGGATTTTTTTTTGTGTTTTGTGTGCTGCAGTCGTCCGCGAGGGGCTGCCGCTTTACTTTCATTTTGTGTTTGTTTATTTTATTAAAGTTTTGTTTAAATGTTCACCGGTTCCCGCCTCCTTCCCGAACTACGAACTTTGTTACAGCCCCTTACCAAACTGTGACGCCATCTCCCGGCACGACGAGACAAAACCAATAAAACCCATTACAAACGAGGCATTTGTTGCATCCAGTGGGGACATAATTACTGATTATAATGACTTATACTGTGTTTTTACGCATTGCGTATCGCGCCGCCTAAACATAAAACCATGTCTGCATTTGTGATCGGAGAAACAAAAAACAACAAGCGCTACTCTATACTGCTTAAAACTCGTGTTTGAATAGTCAGTGACAAATTCTTTAAATATAAAACATTATATCTTTTATATTTAAAAAATAACAGCACGGATCAGCTCTAGGCATGACGAAGTGGATATCGTCCTCTTTTGGAAGGCCAAACAAAGTAGTTTCACTTTCACAACGAAACACACAGCATCTCCACAACATGGCGGCGGTGGCAACAACAATACTGCAGCAAGAATAAAAGTTACGCCTTCTTTCTTTGTGTGAACATTTGGGCGGTGTTATGCAAATCTTCCCACACAGTGACATAGACATGTGGGGGCATATTTAAACGAGGCGTTTTCGCTTATATAAGTCTTAACATAAAGAATATCTCTTTGGATTTGAGACTTTAGTCTTTGCAACTTTACAGATCTTCTTTATGCACCAAGAGCTTGTAACACTCCAAAGAGAAAGGAAAAATTGAAATCGCATCATATGACCCCTTTAATGGATCACTATTATTAGGTGAGTGACATAGCACCACTGAGGAGGTGCCCACATCACCTGCCAATAAATGTGTGTGAATTCATATGGGTTTCAGACAATTGGCCCCACCTGAGGGGTGTTCCTATTGTGTCATGGCTATGCAGCAATTAGTGAACCTATGAAAAGGAACAAAGAACAGGTGACCGTAAGCAATCAACCAATAAGTAACTATGGAAACCAAGGAAACAGAGGAACAGAGAGGAATTGAACATAGGAACAAAACCAAAGCAGAAGGTGACAAACTCAATAAGTTTTTTTTTTATTTTTTATAAATCAATCTTGGTTGGTATAACAGCAATGAATTTGAAGCAATACATTTATACAAAATATACATAACTATACTAGAATATGATTTGAGAATATGATGGGGAAAGACAATAATATTAAATAGAAATGATCAATGCTTACTGAATATTAAAGACTTCAGGATTGATCTGTCGTTACAAATCACTGTCATTGTGAAATCTCCTTGATGGACAAGGTTTATATTAGTACTTGTTGTGCACAACGTTGATAGTTTGTTGGCAACGTTGATAGTTTGTTGCTGCCGTGTGTTTTGAGTTTGAGCTCCGTCAAGTTAATTCTTTGTCGTCTAATTTTTTATCTTAAAATCAATTTTATACACCATCATTTTCGTTTCTATAACATGTGAATATATCCCCTATCGTATTCTAAAACAAAAGCAATCAGAGCGCCTGGTTATCACTAGTTCTATTTTGACTTCCCGAGTCCGCTATTAGCATATAGCCTGCTAGCATCGCCAGCGTGGTTGCCGCTAATCTCACTTACATTAATACTCTATTCACACACATTACCATTGTTTTAATCACTGTTACTTGCTTTAATGGCGGATGTGTGTCTACCTTTGAGTGCAGGTGAGGACACAGATCCGCGACCTGGTGGAGAGGTAGACTCAGCTGAGAGAGCAGAGAGCCGCGCTGGAAACATCCCAGGCTGACGCTCACAAGTCCGAGGTAAGTATACAGCACGCTGCCAACTCTCCCACCACCTCTACTCTCAGAGAAACACATTCTCTGCACAGGCCCGGTGCACCCAGGACGCGATCTTCCCAGATGTCCTTCCGATGTCTTCAGGGAGGGATGACATCACAGGTTTGTCGGGAGATGCTTTATAATAAAAAACACAAAATGTTTATACTAGCTCTGGGATGTGATGGATGAAAAACACTTTCAAAAGTATGTGAACCCAAGTGATTGGTTATATTTCCTCACCCCGCATTATAATGAACACACAGCTGTTGTTGAAGCTGTATCTCTCATTTTCTCTCTCTGCTCGGAAGCAGAACGGCCCGTTGTCATGAGTTTGCACATTATCCATCTCCACAGTACAGTTCTGCTCATCCGGGTTTCCGAGGAGCCTTGTGCGGCCTTTGAAGTTGTCCAAGACATTGACTGGGTCGGTGTGGAACATGTAGCCACCTTTTTTGGTGACCCAAAGAACCCGAAGTCGAGTGACATATTCCTCCTCCATCTTGAAACTGCACGGTATTACCACACACGAATGAGGCAACGCAGTGATCTTGGGTATCACATCTGCCACGTGTTGGAAATAGGCTAAAATGATATGTGACACCATATAGTGGATTAATCAATTGTCACAGAACTGAAAATGTCATTTCTAATCATATACTGTAAATCTGAGAATAGACATAGGGGATAAAAACATACTTTCATTCTGCATTGGACTTGCGGGTTTTTGATACTCTGTAAGACAATTAGTAGAAAACAATAAGCTTGGGATTTTAAAGTTTTACTTATTGTTGGGTTCTGCTTAAATAAACTCTTGTATTTGTGATTTAGGCTAGAAACATGCAGTACGTCATGCAAGTATGTGAACATTTGGTTGCACACATGCTTTCATAGCTCGAAGCCTCCGTGTTCACATACTTGCATATGTGTTTCAGGCCTTAATCTTCACCATCTTTATGGCAGTCAGCACACGATTTGTTTCTTGCTTTTGCAGATTCAAAATGAATAATTTATAAAAAATAAAAAAAAATCTGAACAAGACCGCAACACACATAATGTAAGATTACTCACGTTGCACACGTAAAACAACAGATGCTTTAAAGTCTGCTCCAGAAAATTTTGCGGTGCAAATCAGTTTCTTTTTATTGTCCTCTTTTTCAGCCAGAAAGGTTATGTTGGAATAGCTGATCTGATCTAAACCAGAGAGTTTTTTGTTCCCCGTTGTGACCTGCATGTTCTCATAGTTCCATGTGATGGTTGGATTCTCTTTCTGGCAGGAATGGTAGACGCTACAAATGAAGTTCTTTGCGACGCCCTCTGTGACATCTGCCAGTTCAGGCTCAATCGTTATTTTATGATGAGCACCTGAAATTGAACTGAAATCTTGTAATAGGTTCCACTGTCTCATTGATAGTGAACTTATAGCTTATAGCATACATAACAGTTCATATTTGTGTTTACTCACATTCTGCACTTTTGTCCTCTGTAGCTGTCACTGTTATGCCACCATAATGTGTTACTGAACACTTAATAGTCGAGCGCTCTGCCTTTAAGACACCTGTGCGTATCAGAGTGATTTTCCACAGACTGTCTTTAGACTCATCCTTGATTTCGTCAGTTCCTTCTATACCGCTCAGAGTGATTGTTGGTTTGCTGTATGGACACGTGTGGGAAGCTGAACATGCTACTGTGACTGTGTCACCCGTCCTTTCACCTCCATAAATATAAATGCTGGGCTGATGTGGCTGTGCTACAATTGACAGAAACATTGGTATTAATACATAATATCAGTTTAAACCCCAAAATTGGTTAGAAGACAGTCAATGGGTCTATTGTTATGGTTATTAATGGCAACCACAAGAATATTTACATACTGTCAACAACAATAGTAGAGGTGACGTCATAAAATTTGTAGGTGAACCTTCCAACATTTTCAGGGTCAATCCATGTGTATAATTTCTCTCCATGGTGGGACAGTTCAAGGTTTTTGATCAGCAGACTGCAATCCCAACTTGATGGATCACCATATAAACTAGTTTTCCATCTGAACTTCTCAATGACATCATTTGGATACCATGGATCATAAACTAAAGGATAACCTATAGAGACCCACTGATACCACACAACTCTATGTGGGTTTTTGGGTGGGTATGATGCGTAGCTGAAAGAACATGGTATAACCAGACAGGAACCTTTGAGGCCACGAATTTCCAATGGCATTCTCACATACCATGCCAAAGCATCATTCAGCAGAACACCTGTGGGACAAAAGTTGGAGAACATTAATGGCAGGTAGATTAAGCCAACTTTTTCAAAAGTATTTCTTTTTGTTTTCTAACCACATGTTCTCTGCACATTCTCAATATAGTGAACATCCAAAACTATTACAGAAAAAAACTAATGTTGAGTGGACAAATGTCAAGTGGTGGTTGAAAATGCGTCAAGTAGGATTCCCTGCAAATTACCCGAAAAAAAAGATCCCACAACATTAATTTATTCTCTTATTTTGATTTGCCCTGCACGCTTAATAGACTGGTCCAAAATACAGCAACTAGAGTCCTCACAAGAACCAGGAAGTATGACCATATTAGACCGGTTCGGTCAAAACATTTTTATTACTGCATTTATATTTATACTGGTTGTTGCATGCCACCCAATATCTGGAACACTTCCCAACATTTAATCAGTATTACAGCATTTATAACTTATTATTTTAAGCCAATTCACACTGCACTGACAAATTATTATTATTTTTTTTTTCAGATTTTGTTGTGTCAGTTTGTTTCCTCATCAGTATCTGGTGGCATTGCTCGGCTCTTGTTTTTGCCGGCGTTGAATCAGTGTTTGCCTGTGGTCTGGAAATATCTGAGAAGTGACATACACTGGTGACTGTCAAATTCCTTGGCTTATCTGATGTAAATATCTAATCTTCTTATCTGCAATTTAGATTTTATGCACAATCTTAAACACAGTAAAATTACAAAGAGGCAGCACTGGGGAAGACAGAACAAAAGACCTGACCTGAAAAAAAACACCACTTTTGATACATTTCATAAATAGCCTTTCTAGATTTGATGTACTGTACCCTTATCAACGGCATCTATGAAGAAAAAGAGAGAAAAAATTATACCTTGTAAAAGCAGTTTAAGTAGCAGAGGTCCCATCACGATCCTGGGTTTGCCCTTAAGTAAAAACAAAAACAACTGTTGTTTTACATTATTATTATATTATTACATGTTATTTTATGCTATAAGTGGAGCCACCAAAGCAAGACAAATCGGGCTAAAATTTATGGAAAATGAAACCTTAAGACTTTGGTTAAATAAAATGTAATATACTTTTATTTCCATTCTTACCTTCTTAATGAAGTCTCATTCACAAACAAATGGATTGGATAGAAAAGTTCTATGCCAAGCCCTGCAAAATGTGAGAGACTGTGAAAGACAAAAACTCTGCACAATTATATGAAGAACATCCTATGAGAGGAGGTGTGAACACTCTTTACTATGACTCAAGCATGGTTGAGTCATAGTAAAAAAAAAAGGAATATTTTCTTTTCTTCCAAATAAGGATTTCACACCTAGTGTTGCATTGTGAACTAATTGTAGACAGTCTATGCTAATTAAGGCTAAGACTGCTGTATAGTCCACTCCGTACAAATACCCATTAAAATGGTAAATTTTTCAAGCTTTGGGTTTTGAAATAACTTGAATAGTACAGTATGCATGTGCTGCTTGATAAAACTAGACAAACCCTTTAGATGCAAATAAAGAATAAAACAACATCAGTCATCACTCTGGTTAAGTAAGGTTAGGGCATGTACAGTACATTTTACTTGCTAAACTTTGACAGTTGTTTAATTGATTTGTTGAGGTGTTAAAAAGTATCCCGAATCACTAAAACCCATTAAAATACATTTTAATACGTTTTAGTTGTGTTTAGAAAGTTTTAATGCCTGTCTGTGGTATTGCCAAATGAGGTAACATACACAATGTTCTTGTCTTGATCAAGACAGTTGTGAATATACAAATGATAGATTGGTGGTTTATTCATGAGTTCTTATTTGTAACTCATTTTAATCGTGATTTCAAAAAAGCAGGAACGTCCAGAATTTAAGATGAAATGACATTCTGCTTGGTGAAAATTCTATTCTGAAACAACCTGTCAAAACAGAGCATGAGATGAGAATGAGAGAAATTAAGTGAAGTGACATGTGGCCAAGTATGGTGACCCATACTCGGAATTAGTGCTCTGCATTTATCCCATCCAAAGTGCACACTGCACACACACAGCAGTGAACACACACCCGGAGCAGTGGGCAGCCATTTATGCTGCGGCGCTCGGGGAGCAGTTGGGGGTTCAGTGCCTTGCTCAAGGGCACCTCAGTCGTGATATTGAAGGTGGGAGAGAGTGCTGTACATTCACTCCCCCCACCTACAATCCCTGCCGGTACGAGACTCGAATCCACAACCTTTGGGTTATGAGTCCGACTCTCTAACCATTAGGCCACGACTCCCCCGAGAGTAAGAGAAATTACACGCCAAATAACCACACGCCAATGAGTAACAGTTTATATATTGCATCATGCTTTATTAAACCTTTAGGCTGCACGGTACAAATTAAATGTAACGATGTTATTTAAAAAAAAAACATACATTTTAGTATTTTTGGTCCATAATTCACTAAAATAAACACACAAAAACATATCTGAAATTATTCACACAAACATCTCACAAATTATTTATCAAAAATGACAATAAAAATACAGTAGGGGTCATGAACTGCATTTGTTTTATTATTATTTTATAAAGTTCATTTTAGGTCCACTTATATTGTTAGCAAGAAGAAAAAAACAACAATTTAGAAGTAATAGGCTATTTGCGATCCTGTTTTTGACCATCTCTGTAGAGCAGTCTGTTTTTCAGAACAAGAACGTCTCAACGAGATGTTTTGGCAGCTTGGTTTCAATAAGAGCTGTTTTTGAGCCAACGAGAAAGTTTTGAGTTCTGAAACTTACAGGATGTTTTTTTTATAGTTCATTGACCTGACATATATCAAACGATCAAGGGAAATTACATTTCTCAATTCATGACACCTTTAACTTTCAGCTTAAGGTTAGCAAAAAATGTTTAAATGTTTCTCACATATTAAAAAGTATGTTAGCACTATATATAACTATTATGTACTTAATTTGTTATAACTTTGCAATGTAAGCATCATAATAATATGTAAATACAGTAATACTGTACTATATGCATGTGTAGGCATTATAGGTCAGGCTTAAAATGCAACACTCCTGAACATGTCAGGTCTACTGTGTTCATCTTGGACCTTGAGCAATCATCCAGGTGGATGCTGCAAACTGGTGGTGGATGAGGAGATACCCCCTGACAATGTAAAGTTGAGTGCCTAGAAAAGCGCTATATAAATGTAATGAATTATTATTATTATTATTATCTAAAATGAGGCATTTTCCTCAGATATTTCCATATAAGTTGAGGTCTACTGTGTTGGTGTATTCATCATCGTAACTGTGAGCCTTAATGGAAAAGAGAGATTCAGAAATCAGATTTAATAGGAAATAACACATGTCAGTTATGAGTAATGAGATAAAATGTATGACCAACAAGAAATCAAGCACTAAACAACAGATGTTAACAATACTAAAAAGATTTTCACATGAAGTAATGGGAAAAGAATGATAAAGTATGTACTCACAGAATGTGATTTGGCCTCACTGAGGTGAATCATGTGAAAAGGAATTTGTAAATAAATAAATACATTGATCACAGCAGTTGGCTTATTTAAAAAAAAAAAAAAAAAAAAAGAGGGTTTTTTTTTTTTTTTTGGGGGGGGGGGGGGGGGGGGTGCAAAGACATTCTGAATTTAACTAAAATAAAACATTGATAAAAATCTAATTACACAAGATACTGGACTGTTGTAGCAAAGAGAATATTTGAGTACTGAGTACAGATATGAGTCATTCAATGCCATGAATAGGCAGTCAGTAAGATATTTCATATGCTCCATACCTCTTTGGTGATGGCATTCGAGTTTTGGAGAAAGGCTTGTTTCCTGACACTGTACATACGTTGTTTGCCCTGTGAAGATTCAGAAACCTCTGTCATACTCCAGTAAAACATGACCAAAAAAATGCTTAGGTATATTGAAGTAACTGTCCATAACACAGTGGATGTGGACAGAAAAAAAAAGATGTTTTCCCTGAGAATCGAACCCATGACATTGGCATTGCTAGAGCCATGCTTTACTGTTTTACAGAATAAACATTCACAAAAACATTTATTGGAATCAGACCTCCACTTTTATTAACATATAACACTATGATAAATCAAATCTGGTAAATAATCCTTAAAAAAAAAAAAATATATATATATACTTAAACCCTATCGGATAAGCATGTTACAAACTTCTGAAACACTTATATATATATATATATATATATATATAATTTACAAATAGTCATTCATAATGAACATGCAAATACTTACTTGTTGTCAAAATCCCTGTCAGTTTGATGCCCTTGACCTCTCCTTTAAAATATAGGAAAAATAGACATTGGTCTTTAGGATCAGCAAAATATATATAAGTGTTTTCAGTTATATATATATATTTTTTTTAGGTATGAAAACATTGGGCTGCATAGCATATTGTCGTGTTTTGAACGGCTAACTTGAACATAATCCCATAATGTTTCAAGAACACAATAGTCACTTCATTTTTAATGTTTTAATTTGTGTTTCAGACAAGAAGCAGATACCAGGCTCAAAAAAAAAGCCTAGTCTTTCTTTGCAATGACAAAAATAAGATGATATCCTTAACAGGCTGATAAGGCAGTGTGTGGGTACCTTGAAAATCTACTCCAAATAGACCTCCTAAATCAAAAAGAGGAATAGAAAAATGCAAATGAGAAAAAAAATGCATTTTTATATTTAATCTAGTCATATCGTCATTTACAGATGAATGTTTCACACAGCTACCACTCACAGCTACACTAATAGACATTGATAAGTGTTAATTTAACAGCTAGTGAACCGGTAGTGAAACATTTATATCTCTATTTAAAAACTAATGCTGTATTCTGTGCTGAATATAGATTTTTTTTTAGGACAGTACAGTGGCAATTTTTTCAATAACTAAAGATACTGTAAGCAACACGGATAACACTTTTAGAATAGGGAACACTTATTCACTATTAACTACGACTTTTCCATCAATGAATTCCTAATTTGCTGCTTATTAGTTATTAAGGTAGTTGTTAAGTTTAGGTACTGGGCAGGATTAGGTATGTAGAATAAAGTCATAATGAATAAGACATTAATGTGTGCTTAATTAGTACTAATAAATGGCTAATATTCTAGTAATATGCATGCTAATAAGCAGCTAGTTAAGAGACTCTAAAATAAAGTGTTACCCTTAGCTTACATATAAGACACAAAAAGTTACAAACATTAATATTACACTCTAAAAAATGCTGGGTTAAATACAACCCAGTGCTGGGTAAAATAGGGTTGTTCTGACCCAGCGGTTGGGTTAAAAGTTTAACCCAACCTTCATGTTAGTAACCCAACCGCTGGGTCAAAACAGCCCAATTGCTGGGTTTGTCCCTATGTTACCCAGCACTGGGTTGCATTTAACCCAGCATTTTTTAGAGTGTATGTTCATATTAAACTTTAATTTACAAGAAATAGATTAATTCTACAGACATGGGATATAACATTAAACTTTAAGTGCTATTACTTTTGAAAATTGCAACATGTCAAAGTTAAAAGCAAATAATTATAATAATATTCTATCAAAATACCACCTGTCATCAGAACAACTCAGTTTTATACACATACTCATGGCATCTGAACATTCTGAACAGATTAATCTAAAATAATTGTTGTGTACAACACCTTCAACTCCTGCTAATAATTGTAACTATATCTTTGTCTAAAAAACAACCATAACTAAAATCCAAAACATGCCATAGATTGAGTATTTTCCCGCCAGAGGATCTGTTATGTCCCGGTTTGTTGCAGAAGAACGCATTAGAAGCTGTTGTGTACTTGCCTCTGCTCTCTGCCACCAGGACCACTGCTGCCGCCATCTGAACGAAACCTGGTGATCACATAGAAGAATGGCAAGTTCATTCATAACTGATGGAGGTTGATCAATGCAATGCAGTTTAAAAACAATCAAAAATATACTAATTACCTGCGAGACATTCTTGATAGTCGACTCCACACTCTAAAAAAACATTTAAGACTTAGTAAAACAATTATGATGATTTTTACTTTCAGACAGATTGTTAACGTATGGCGTCCTATTGTCAAGTTTTATTGTCATGTTTTAACTATTCTAATTAGGAACTGTAGACGAAAACAGATCTGTGTGCTTTTATCAGCAGGAAGCATCTTTAAACA